AAGAGAGAGAGAGAGAGAGAGAGAGAGAGGGAGAGAGAATATGTCTCAGCCAAAAATTGAACTTGCAGGGGAAAATTACTCGTAAAAAGATACAAAGAAAAAAAATCAGTTGATTTTATCAAAATTATAGGTAATTAGATGAAAATGATTGGAAGAAATTTATTGTTTTTACCAGCAATTATTCATCAATTAATTACCACTATAGGGGCATTCCTAATATTGTCATTCTACAATATGTCGAATAATCGCCGAACAATTACAAACTGTTATAACTGGAACTCTTACGGGCCATGTTTTAGCATCAGTGATCTGGGATCAGCTTCTTTAACAGTACTACCGGAATAGTTATATGGCGGTGGGATATTTGTTTTCACTTGAGATTTATCATTTTGAAAAGAGCTTGATAAAATGAATATATCTGTGCTCTGGATGACAATTATATATGCATGTACAGCGCTTATCAATGAGATCAATTAGCTTTACATGCAAACTTGCGTGTAGTAAAATTAGCATAAACATCAAAAATTTAGCCCTTCATTAATTTTAAAAAAATTATAGTTTACAACAGTAATGCAAGTAACTTTCTGCATACTTTTATTGTATAATACAACAATTTCCACGTGATACATCTACTTATTTCACATACCGCATGCTATCTCTTCCTCATGATGCATACTACCCGTTCCGCATAGTACTATCTCTTTCGCATAATGTGTACTACCTGTCCCGTATAGCATACATTACCTATTCTGCATAATGTGTATCGTCTGTTCCGCAAGAAGCGCAACCACTTGTTCCGGATGATGCATACCATCTCTTTCACAGAATCTAGCACAATGACCTTCTCAATTCCTTCCTTTTTCCAAATAATTTTTGAAAATAATTTCAAAATTATTTTATGAAATGCGACTTTGAGTGAAAAGAAGGTCACACTGTTGAATGCGCCAAAGTGCAAGTGTTTGGTAAAACAAATAAGAAGTCGTAGGGGGTAGTTGAAGAATCTATTTAAGAAGATTTTGAACAAATGTCCCAAAGACTTCTAAAAGTGCTTGAAAAATATTGTGTAGTAAACAAAACTTTAATAAGGAAAAGAAAACGGTTAATTACTTTCTGGAAGAAGAAATTGCTTCAAAAATCAGAGAGCATTTAGACGTCACGTAAGTTGAACTAACGTCACCTGCAATAGCAATGTTCCCTAAGTCATAAATCCTTGTAAATGGCCAATTTTTTTAACAAGAATGTATGATACAAACATTTCCGCAGCAGTATATAATTCCGGCATTTGCTGAAGCACCTCAAAATAACAGATTTTTCGAAGACTTGCCATTCAATTACTTCAAAAAAATTCAATTCTTATTTGATAGTGAAATTAACAAATGGCAATCTCTATTGGTGAATCGATCGTGCGGAAGGTGATGGATTACCTGGAATAATTCAACAATTCCGCCAATGCATGCGGCATGAGTGATATACAAGTTTCTTGCAGTCCACATTGCGATTATGCTTCCTGGTACGAATGTGTCTTATCGTCTTATTACTATAAAATTATAATATATATATCCAAAATATCCAAATCTACTCTATCCTTTGCCCTCACACATTCACCCTCTTATATTCTGTTAAAATACTAAAGCTGGGATAATGTGACGAAGTGAAATAGGTAAGAAGTTCAGAATCAGAAAATGTTATCTGTAGCAAAATAACAACAGGTACAGAACATTTGTTAATTTCCTTAGCTTATTTATTCCGGCACTAATCCAACATGAAATCTGAAATTGGAAGCCATTAAATTGCTACCAGGTAAGTGTATACCTTTCATCGTTCCAATTTTTCTTTTTTAAACAAACGAATGGAAATGGAAATTTTGCAAAAAATCATTTCCTCTCATTATATTCCTATTTTTGACCACTCTATATTTAATCATTCCATTTTCAGAAAAAGTAAAATTTTTTTTTTTTTTTGCTTATGTGTTAAAGGGAAATGTTATTATTGCTATGAACCATACAAGCCAAATCCATGTGATCTAAATTGTGCATTGATACCTTGCAACAATCAACTTTCATTTTCATCTAATCAGATCATTATGTTTAGCAGAAATGGTTTCAAGAAGATCTGCAATAGAATGGTCATACTTTTTCTTGTATTTTAAAATTCTGTAAATTTTTACTTAAAATTTTATTAGTTATTAATAATGATTCGATAATTTTAAGAGAGATTATAAAGATTTTGAAATTGATAATGTGAGAGAAATGGCGGACATTGAACATCGTCAGGGCATTTATACAGTGCAGTTTTGCATATCTAAGAAAAGTTATCTATGAATTACAAGCAAAATAAACTACCTTTAAAGCTAAGCTTTCAGTGAATTGAACTAATCAATCAAATAATTAATTAACTCAATTGCACTTTCATCCAACACATAAGCTTGCATAAATAACTTCAACTTCTCGAAGTTACCAGTTAATAGTTTCAAAAAAATATCTGTCCAATTTCTTCCAACTATTACAATGTTATATGCTCTACCTGATTTATTAAGAATATCCTTTACCTCATTTATCGCGATATCTCGGCGTTATTGATTAGTACACGAAAAAATTGGTAACTGTATCAGTTGTATAGTGAATGTTTTTTTGTCATATTTATGTAATAAATTGTTAAATAACTGGGTTATTGTTTTTCTTGAATGATTGGAAACAACAATATTCATATAACAAAGACATTCTCGAAGAAGTAATTATCCTAATTAGTTTGGTGACTCACTTCTCATTGCTATTAACGAATACGTTAGATTTACTTCGTCCTTAACTATCGTCCGTTTTTTTTTTTTCAACCAAAAGTACCAATCAATTAATTGTATTGCTTAGTGAATTATTAGAAGCGGCAAAGATTCATTGCTGGTTGGATACCTTCAAATGTTTCCCAATCTGTAATAAATTACTTACCTATCTTATTTGATCTTATTTTAATCTTGAGTGACAAATAATTGGTGACAATGCAACTTAATCTGGAAGCAATATAATCAAATCATATCATTAATGATGCGATACAATATCATTTTAAAGGAGTAATTATGTCTGCAAAATAATTAAGTCAATAAACACCCAACTTGGATTTTTGGATTTAAAAAAGAAAATTTCGTTTCAGTGAAAATAATAAATTTACCATTGCTGTATAAAGAAAAATTGTTACAACAATTATAATTGCTATTTATCCAAAGTAATAATAAATATTTACTAAAGTGAAATTCACTTTGACAAGTTCTTGCAAATGAACGATTAATGTAATTAGTAATAATTAGTCGGAAATTAACTAGAATGACGAAATAAAATGATAGCTATGAAATTTAATTTCTATCAGATTCATTCATTCACTTCCCTTTCATTTTTCGTTCTAATAGTGGTTGTGGTTTCAAAATCTTTTCTCGACCAGTGACCCCTTCGGCTTTTTATTTGTAACAGTGACTAAAAGGTTCAATAAATAACAAACTCTGTTAACTGGAAAGTAAACTCTAATCATAATAGTTTAGTCCATCAAATTAGTTTATCAAACATTGATAGGAACAATCCCCCCTGTTTTCCACTTACTGAATCATCATCCTCGTTCGCTACATTTTAGTTCTCGCGGGACCAATAACTGTTTGAGGACCACTTTATTAAAGTAAGGCTTCTTTTTTTCTTGCAGAAGTGATTTATTTCACTGATAGGAATATTCTGATAATTAGGCCATTAGCCAAAGGAATCATGACAAGCTAAAATTAATGAGTATCAAATGAGAAGTGTTTTGGGGTGACATTGACATAGCGAAAGTTTTATATAAAACAAATCGGTAAATGGATGAGATCGGATTGGGATTCGATAGAATCCAATCCCGAAATTATCGAAGATTACTAATCTTTTATCTTAAAAAGAATAAGTCTTCGCCGTTATCTGAGAGTGCTCAATAAACTATCCGGAAATATTTATTACAGTTCTATTCGACCGATAGCTTTGCATGAATTCTGATGTTTTGTGCGTTTGATTTCTCAATTAGATATGAGTATTGATATCTTTGAAAACTTATTATTATTCTACTTTTTATTTCCAATATCTACAAATGCATAAAAGACCTGAAAGAATAGAATTCAATGATAATAAAATAAAACTATCAAAGTTTAGCATTACTATTTCGTAATTATCGAGTACATGACCTTTTTATTCGACTAGGAAGTTTTTACTTTACAATACAAATTGATTTGACGGTAGATGACCTTTGAAAAATGTCAGCAAAGAACTAAATTAGTTATTGGAATGCATAATATAAAAGTAACCTATGATGAAATACGAATTCATGTATAGTCGCTTTAATTTCTCGTATAGATGACTTCATTTTTGCAAACTCTTGCAGAAATGCTCGGTAATCGTAACTAGATTTTAAGAGTTATCTATTGCAAGAAGATGCTCAATTAAATCTGCCTAACCCACTTAATTTAAATCCTAAATACTGTTTGCTTTATGAAAGAGTGAAAAAAGTGAAGAGAAATGGATCAAACTGCAATAAAAACTTCCAGTACATGTGATAGCAAGTTTACCTCGAAAAAAAAACCACTTGATTAACGCAAGTTGATAATTCAAACTAGGAATTCCTCGTTCAGGAGAAATAATTGCAATCCCAGACCCTGATCATGGGAGATTTTCAGATTCCTTCCAGGAATTCCTGTAAATTCCATTGCTGTCACCAATGTGACATGTGTGCTTTGCACTAAATGTAACACGATTCCACTTATTCATTGCGATTGAATCAAAACAATTCTTGTAGATTTGCCTGAAGATTTTAGCAGTTCTGCATCATTGCTAATTCTTTTTCGTAGATGGGCATTGTCAGGTGTAATATTAGAATGTAGTTCAGTCCAGGAAATGGCATGTATTTCAACTCAACAACTAGTCCGATTCTTAAGTTCCCCGATAAAAAAGAACAGATAAATCCCGTTCACAGATGAGTGTTAGATAAGCTCCCAAACGGTTAAGATTTCGGATTACCGAAATTAAAGCTATGTTTAAATAAAATTTACACAATATCTAACGGACAGGGTGATGAAATCTTGTAAAATTAAAGAGCAGATAAGCTAACAATGGACAGCACAACACTAAAAACGTCTCAGTGTCTACGTCATGGACAATGACATCATTGTACCTGCACAATGGACAATGCCAAAAACTAGCCATACCTCCATGATAACCAGGATGGAGCTTACAAGCTCCTCCCCTAATCCTTATATATATATATATATATATATATATTATATGGAAAAATCCAAAAGGGTTCACTTTTCTCACAACCGAGCAGATGATGCATCCTCTTCACTTATCCTCCACGACTTAGCCACAAGCAATGACATCTTTGCATATCCACCGCCACTGGACAACAAACTACGATATTCTATTTGTTAAAAACATTTTCTGTAGCATATTTCCAACTCAACAACCTACTATCTAACTGACAATCGAAGGCAACGAGAAATCTGTTAGTTGATCATATTGCTCGCTTACTGTATAACTCATTTGTCACTGCTTACCTGCGAATATATACATATGTATTTTACACCCTTTTTGTTGTTAACTAGTAATATTATGTAAGAACAATATTATATCCCGAATAAATCTGTATCGCTGAAAAACGAATTCAACAAATTAGCTTGCCTGACATGAGAAGTGACATCATCTCATTTGGTTGGTATTATCACTTGATTTCACTGTTTCCGGCAATGTAAAAAAAAAATGCTTTTCCGGTTTTATGCTTCTTGACAGCTTGTAACAAGCAGAGTTATACAAGCATTTTACCGCATGAACGTACAGCAAGTGACAATATCAAGAAAAAATAATCAACGTGAGGATGTTGAAAAACGGTCACGCACATTACCTATCGCATTCCACAGTGAGTCGCTCCAACCCTGTAACAGCAACAACCAATAAGTATACCCGGTTAGTAAGTCAAATATTTATGTCACTGGAATACAAACGTCTCACATAAATAAAATACAAAATATTTTACATATCAGTAATGAAGCAGCACCCAAGACTAATTTTAATACCATTTAGGCTACAGTCTGAATTGAGAGCAATGCAATTCGGAACATTGGATGTCACCAACGATATGGTACGACGCGAATTTTGCGAGAGCTTTTCATAAAATGTCAAATTTTAATTCCTGCAAAAGCCAACAACTAACTTTCCTGTCCGATGGTGTTCGTTCGCCAGCATGTGCATCAAGAACCTTCTGGTATCTTAGCTTGCAAGCAGCTTCAATAGTTTTAGCCATTGGACCTGCGGACGGTTCCACGTAAAACACATAGCACATGAAATTCTCCGATGATGTACTCATTATAAATGCACAGTGCCTAAAAAGTGGTCAAATTCACTTTGTTTTTTTTTTTTTTGTAAATTTATAAGAAACACCCTTCATACGATTGATACTACTTCAGGAAAAAACTACTTAGAATGCACTATTGCTTCTTGCTATAAGAGTGCTCGGAAGTTCTTTAGTGATGCGGTGTTTCTGACCATTCTAAGGTAATGTGAACACCGTCTTACAATTACGATTCAGTGCGCGTAGTATCGCGGAAAATTTCTTTTTTGAACACATGATAACGAACAGGCACCAAACAAAGCAGTTACTGCACAAGGATGGAAGATATTCAATTCAGTGCGTAACTTGCGCTGCAAAAAATTTAATCCACAGCTGGGACTGTACACGGGATAGACAAAGACTCAATTTTTTGACCCATTAAATCTAAGAAGAATAACTTACTTGATATCCCGTCCAATTCCCAAAAATGATAAGTATCGCACTCTACATTGAGCAATTTGATTGCCATTCACTTCACATATTATTATTGTTGATGGAGCTATGGAAACATTTGCCAATATCCATCTATCTGATCGAACCTGTAAAAAACAAAACATTACTGCCTAACGAGCAAACTGAGAACTTGTAACAGAAATTCTCGTCTATCCCAAGAGAAGATACTAGCCGACTGTTTTAGGAGGAATTTCTAATCACCTATTATCTTCTTTACTGTTCCTGAGCTATGCTTCTTTGACAATCCTCATTGAATAACTGGAATATGTTATGATTCGGAAACACTAAATGTTAATATTACAGCAGTCCTAAACTACAGTATCTAATGGAAACAATTAACTTGGTGAAATACATGAACGATTTAACTAAAATGGCATGTATAATTTTTAGAACATTCGATCTTTATTATTTCTGTACTTACTTACCTAAACAGAAAACAATATCTGTCACTAACCTGCGACACAAGTCGATCGACCGCTTCGTTGAGAACTTCAATACCTGTAGCTCGAGGCACCTGTGTAACACCCAGGAAATGACATCGAATGGTTCTTTTGG